GCTGTGGGTACAGGGCCTCCTGACAAGCTGCGGCCTTCTCTGGAAGATGGCAAGTGTGTAGTTCCTGACTGAGCACATTACTAGTACAAGGACCCACCTTTCCTGCCTAGTGTGCTGGAGCTCTCCACTGGGCTGCCCAGAACTTTCTCAGACTGCACCTCAGCCTGAGGGTCTTCCTGCCCAGTCCTCCTTCCTTCTTTTCACAGGTGTCAGACCTGCACTGTAGTCTGGAGGCTTTCCCTATGGACTCCTTTCCCCTCCATAATTCACACGTTATTGCCAATAAACCTCTTACCATTCTAAGTCTGTCTTGCTATTTGTTTCCTGCAAAGCCCAGTTATACAACCACATATCCTCTTTTTTTTTAATTTATTTTTTTATTGATTATGCTGTTACAGTTGTTCTATTACCCCCCTTCATTCCCTTCCACCCTACCCCCCCTCCCCACCATTACCCCCCTTTAGTTTATGACCATGTGTCTCAAGTTCTTTAGATTCTATATTTCCCATACTATTCTTGCCCCCCCATCTATTTTCTATATACTGTCTATGCTATTTATTTTCTGTATCTTCTCCCCCCTTCTCCTCCTCCCACTCCCCTGTTGCTGACCCTCCTTGAGATCTTCATTTCTATGTTTCCACTCCTGATCTAGCTGTCCTTTTAGTTTGCTTTTGTTTTAGGTGTGGTTGTTAATAACTGTGAGTTTGTTGTCCTTTCACTGTTCATGGTTTTTTTTACTTCTTTTTCTTAGATAAGTCCCTTTAACATTTCATATAATAAGGGCTTGGTGAGGATGAACTCCTTGAATTTGATCTTATCTGAGAAGCACTTTATCTGTCCTTCCATTCTAAATGAAAGTTTTGCTGGATAGAGCAATCTTGGTTGTAGGTCTTTGGATTTCATGACTTGGAATACCTCTTTCCAGCCCCTTCTTGCCTGTAAGGTCTCTTTTGAGAAATCCGCTGACAGTCTGATGGGGACTCCTTTGTAGGTGACTGTCCCCTTATCTCTTGCTGCTTCTAAGATTCTCTCCTTCATTTTAATCTTGGCTAATGTAATGATGCTGTGCCTTGGTGTGTTTCTTCTTGGGTCCAAGTTCTTTGGGACTCTCTGAGCTTCCTGGATTTCCTGGAAGTCTATTTCCTTTGCCAGATTGGGGAAATTCTCCTTTATTATTTGTTCAAATAAGTTTTCCACTGGTGGCTGTTCCTTTCCCCCTTCTGGTACCCCTGTAATTCAGATGTTGGGGCATTTAAAGATGTCCTGGAGGTTCCTAAGCCTCTCCTCACTTTTTTGAATTCTTGCTTCTTCACTCTTTTCTGTTTGGCCATTATTTGCTTTCTTCTGGTCCACTCCATTGATTTGAGTCCCAGTTTCCTTTTCATCGCTATTGGTTTCCTGTGCAATTCCATTCATTTCAATTAGTTTCGCCTTCATATGTTTGTCTAATTTGTGGCTATAATCAACCAGTTCTGTGAGGATCCTGATCACCAGTGTTTTAAACTGTGCATCTGAGAGTTTTGCTATTTTTTCATCACTTAGATTTATAGGCTCTGGGGCTTTGAGATATTCTTGAGCCATTTTTGGTCTGTTTGCACCCGTTAAGTATGAGGAGCCGAGTCTTGGACTCCCAGGTCACTGGGTTGTGATGCTGCGTGTGGAGGTGGAGTCAGAGCGGGGAAATGGCAGCCCCCTCTGCTGTTTCTCAAAGCTGGGTGAAGAGCAGAGCCTTAGGTTGTTCACAGGGGCAGGGCCACTTAGGTCGCTGGGTTATGACGCTGTATGTGGAGGCGGGGTCAGAGCAGGGAAATGGCGGCACCTTCGGCACCTTCCGCTTGCCGCTGGGGCTACTGGCTCTTGTCCAATCGCCCACTCCCTCTCTTGTCCATCCACACACGAATGCGCGACCACAGTCAACCCACAGCCCTGCTCCCTCGCTGTTTCCCTGCGATTGCTTGCTAAGTTGCCCACCAGGTCCAACCCTGCGCCTGGATTCTGCGCGCCTGAGTCCGTCTGACCGAGTTTTTCTGTGCAACCCCGCTCCGCCAGCTGCTGGTTTCACCCCTCTTACCGGTCAGGCTGAAGAATTTGTTGTTACCAGACTTTCGAAAAGTTCAATTTTCTGTGTTCTGGCTGTGTTTTCTGTTGCTATTATTTAGTTGTCTCTAAACTTGGTTGTGTGAGGAAGCACGGTGTCTCCACCTATGCCTCCATCTTGGCGGAAGTCCATATTCTCTGTCTTGCCAAATACAAATGGTCATCCAGGTCCTAGGCTCACCAGAGTATGGTAGGTGCATGTGACTGAAAGACCAGTGGGGGTATTTTCTCACAAAAAAAAGTAAAAAATAATTAAATTTTAAGGTATGAAAGAATCCATTTCAGATTAAAAACTCAACTTTAATTGGAGAATTAACTTCCAAGTGACCTAGAACACTCCCATTGCACCCTCTACCAAGCAAGTCTTGAAAACACCCATCACATTGGTAATTACTTGCTTACTGTCTGTCTTCCATTCCAAGCATATAAGTTTCAAGAACAAAGACTAAGTCCTTCTTTTGGGGATAATAAAAATGTTCTCAAGTTAGATTATGGTGATGGCTGCAGAATTTTGTAATATATTAAAAACCATCAAATTATACAACTGAAATAGGTGAACAATGTGATTAAGTTATATATTAATAAACCTGTTAAAACATACAATTGAATCATAAGACACAGTCATAGTAGTCAGCGAAGGTTTCAAAGAGGTCATAAATGAATGAGACTTAAAGGAACAGCAGGAGTGCCCTGGGAGAAGAGGAGAAAACATTCCAGATAGAAGCAGCAGGCAACACAAAGCCTAGGAAGAGAGCATGCTATAGGGTGTGCAGTGTGTGAAGTTCGTAATGCTGGTACTAGGAGACTAGGAGATTGGAGCTTATCTGGGCAGGGTTTGAGCTAGTCATACTAGCTTTTCTTGAAGAAACAGGGAAATCACCAAAAAGTTTTGAGCCCATCAGAAGCATCATTCTGATGTAAAAAAATGGAAGGCAATTTGGAGGTGAGTGAAATTAGTAATCATTTGACCAGAAAAGAAGAAAACAATAATAGCTAATATTCACAGAGCCCTAACACTCTACTCAGCAGTTTCCTTGAATTGTCTTACTTAATTTTTAAAGTAGGTACTACAATGACATTTTTATAGATGATATTATTTCCTTCAAGTCTTTAGGCAAATGCAACTTCCAAATACTGTCCCTATTTCCCTTGCTTTATTTTCCTCTGGGACCCTCATCTCAGTTTAATGGTTTACTTTGTAAATTTGTTTAAAGTTTCTCTCTCCTCACCTCTAGAATGACAGCCCATAAGAATAGGTTAATTTGTATTTCTCTTTCAGTTCTGTATCCCCAGTGCATAGATACCCAATATTTTAAAATAAATAATACATAAATGAATGAGGACATAGAGTTTCATAGAGTTTAAGTAACTTGCCCACAATCATACAGGTAGTAGGTGGCAGAATTCTGATTCAAAAACCCACATTCTTACTCCACTGAGTGATTCACTAGAGTTGTAATATTGTAAGCAATAGGTAAGCCCCTCTTGTGGTATTGGGACCGGGCAGGGGGTGGGGTGGGGTGGGGGACAGAGTAGTGGGAACAATTGCCTGGGTTTCATAAAAATTTGGATGTGGAAAGATGCTGAAAGGGATCAGTCCAGGATGACTTTGATTTCTAGATTTGGGAAGTGGGTAAATGGAGGTACAATTCATCAGGAGAAAGAATACAAATGGCTTGAGCAGAAAGATGGAGGAGGGTGTGTCTAATGCACAAGCCTTTTTTTTTTTTTTTAAGATTTTATTTATTTACTGTTAGAGAGAGGGGAAGGGAGGGAGAATGGAAGAAAACCTTGATGTCCCAGTACATTGACCAGTTGCCTCTGGCATGCCCTCCGCTGGAGACCTGGTCTTAACCCAGGCATGTGCCAAGACGGGGAATGGAACCAGGGACCTTTTGGATGGCAGGCCAGCACTCAACCCACCGAGCTACACATTTCAAGGCAGGGCCACAGGCCTTTTTTTTTTTTTAATCATCAACTCTCTAAATTACTAAGTGTTGTTAATAATAATTATGAAGCAAGTAAACCCAAACTGATCTGGTCATCTTCAGTAGGAGGCCTGGTGGATAATGGGGTTGGGTAGGTGACACAAAATATGAGTTGTTCTTAAAAAAAGAAAAACTAGTTCAAGCCTACCAAGAATAGGAACAAGTCCCCAGGAATGTTTAAAATATATGTTAATACTCAAGTTAATTTGTAAGGCAGATGCTAACACAGAAGTCATGGTACCCTTGTGTAGCTAGGTTCTAGTTGTATGTTCATGTCATCTTTTTTATTATTTTTTAATCATTGTTCAAGTACAGTTGTCTCTATTTGCCCCCCACCTCCCACCCTCAATCCTACCCCCCTTTGGCTTTGTCCATGAGTCCTTTATACATGTTTCTTGGCAACCCTTCCCCTCCTTTTCCCGTTATCCCTTTATCTTGATGGTGCCTGTGGCTTTCAAGAAAGGGACAGTGGGGATCGGAGTGGGTGGGTGGAGGTGGAAGATGGTGTGAGATAAATAGTAACGCAATAAAAAAAAAACTATTAAAAAATGACAATCAATGAAGAAGCAGGCACTAACACCTAAGCCCAGGATGGCCGGCAGGGCAGGTAAGCATGCTTGCGACCTCGGACACTGCAGCACGTGGCCGCCAACGGCCGGGACTCAGCTAGTTAGATTCGCACAGGAAGCTCGCGCCTCAGCCCTCTGCGGAGCGCGGAGCTGGACGAGCGTCACTCCGACTCCTTACTCTCTCTAGACCTGGGCCCACGGCCTCCGGTCCCCAGGCGGCGCTGTGGGCTCCTAGGGTTGGCCGCAGCCCAACTAAGCGCAGTCTCCCTGCTGCGCATGCTCGTGCCCGGTGTGGGCTCGCTGCTTTTTTTTTTTTTTTTCTTCTTCTTCTTTTTTTTTTTTTTTTCCGGGCGGCCCCGGCGACTGCGTACTGGCTGTGGGATGGGAAGTGAAGCCACAGCGAGCGGCAGCGGCCGGGCTGTAAGGAGCAGCCTGGGGGTGGCGGCAGCGGCTGGCCGGTGAGCTGCCGAGAAGAGACCAGCTAGGGCAGAGCACCTGCAGGCGCGGGCGGCGGCTTCACCATGGCGATTCGCAGGAAGAGCACCAAGAGCCCCCCGATCCTGAGCCATGAATTCATCGTGCAGAATCACGCGGACATCGTCTCCTGTGTGGCGATGGTCTTCCTGCTGGGGCTCATGTTCGAGGTGAGCCCGCTCCGCGCCCCAGTCGCCCGGGCGCCCCCTTCCCGGGCCACCGTCGGCCAGGGACCGCGCTGGCTTGGGCCAGAGGGAGGTGCCGGTCCCCTGAGGTTCGGGCCTGGGGACCTGGAGCCCAGCGGGCCTGGCCCAGGGTGGCCGTGTCGCCCCCTCTTCGGACGCACTCCCCTCTGGCCCTCGCCCCCTCCGGCCCGCCGCGCAGTTCCTGGTTTCCCGCGAAGGGTTACGTGGCAGCCGGCGAGGGGCCGGAGACGCGGGGGCGGCTCCTGCACTGCCGAGCTGGCTGCCGGCGGGTGGGCGGGTTTGGGGGAGGGAGGTGGCCGGCCTAGTCCCCGGGTGCATCTCCTGGGCGAGGTCTGGGACCCAGTGGAGGCCAGGCCTGGGGGGCTGTAGAACGAGCGGGCTTGGGGTACGGTTTGGGGGTCCCGATAAGCACCCATTTTGGGGTGAACGAGAAACAAACGGAGGCCGGCGTGTGCTGCCCACTGTAAGGGCGGTGTCCCTGGGGCAGCAAGGGATCGCGTGGGTTGGGCACGCGGAGGCACACCGATTGTTTAAATTCTTGTCTCCAAACTGGTAATATCGCCAGCCAGTTATCGAACTTTTTGCCCTGACGCTTGCTTTTTCCGTAAAGAAACAAGATCTGGTACAAAATCGAGGTTCTGAACCGCAGTGCCAAGGAGTCTAGTGATTGATTTTCTTTTTGTTTCTTGAAGTAGGAAAGGCTGAAAATGTCTGGCGTGCGTAAATTCTCTTCCCACCTATCTAGTATTTTGATGACTTAACAGCTGTTGAATGTGGGTATAAACTTTGCGAGGTGAACGCGTAGCATCCTATGGTCTCCCTTCTCACTCCCCAGTCAATGCACAGGCCTATTCCTTACCTTCTTTCCCTTTTTCATTTTTCTCAATAGCCTCCACGCCTCCTGGAATGTAACGGCAGACGTTTTGGGGTTCTACTAGTCTATATCCAGTGCCTGGGTGTAGGAGCTGCTTAAAAAATAACCTGTTGAATGCGTGACATTACGAATTCTTGAAAAAAAACTAGTGGAATGAGATTGCCAGTACCCGAGGAGTGGAATTTTTAAAATGTGGTTCATGTAGGTTTCTAAATGTTATTGTGTAACTATTTTTGCTTTTCTTCAGATTGGCTATTCTGAATCTAAATATAGATTTAAAAAATTACCGATAGGGTCATTTATGTCCACTTAGCCCATTGTGAAGGAGGGAGTGGTTGCAGTGAAAGGAAAGGTAGAAGGAAACTAACGTATGTTGCTTGCTTCACTTTAGGCTGAGCCTTGCTACTTAACTACTGCTCGGCCCAAGGCTAAGACTCAGTTTGGCTCTGTGTAAGGAAATAACATCACCTGTGCTATTCTCCTAGTGGGTGATACAAGGCTCAGACAGTATAGTGAGAAGGCACCATATGATTGCTGTATCAATGTATGATATTGTTAAAAATGCAATGCTCAACATTTGTACTCTCTGAATTTTCTATTTGTACTGGCTGCTTTGTTATTAGAAGTAATACTTTTGTATACATTTGCCATAACCCATCTCCATATGGTAAGAATTCCTGACTTTAAAAAATATAATTTAGGCCCTGGCTGGATGGCTAAGTTGATTGGAACACCAGAAGGGTTGAGGGTCCATTCCCTGGTCTGGTGGGTACAGGAGGCAACGGCTCCATGATTCTCTCCCACTGGTGATGTCAGTCTCTCCAATTCCCTCCCTGAAAAATCCAGTAAGCATATCCTTGAGTGAGGGTTTAAAATATAGAATATATATATATGTATATATATATATATCAAATTAACTGTAAGATATACAATGTTTGAATGTAGTGGAATATAAATCAGATATACTGGCACTTAGAAATGGTACAGCTTGCCCCGGCTGCGTGGCTTAGTTGGTGGAGCATCGCCTAGGACACCGAAAGGTTGCAGGTCTGATCCCTGGTTGGGACACATACAGGAGGCAACTGATTCATGCATGTCTCTCTGTCTGTCTGTCTGTCTGTCTGTGTGTGTCTCTCTCTCTCTCTGTCTCTCAAAATCTATAAAAATATCCTCATGTGTGGATTTTTTCAATTTATAAATTTTTTAAAAATAATAAAATAAAATAAATAGTATAACTTTGACCCCGCTGGGTGGCTCCGTTGGTTGGATCATCATCCTGACACCAAAAGGTTACTGGTTCCATCCCAGGCGGGGCAGGTGCAGGGGGCAACTGACCAATATTTCCTTCCCTCCCCTCCCCCCCTTCTCTTTTCTCTCTGCCCCTTTCTGTCTAAAAATCAGTAAACATATGCTTGGGTGAGGCTTTAAAAAAGAAGTAGTATAACTTTGCTTTTATATTAAGTATTTCACATTGTCTTATCATAGTTCTAGGGAAGTTCACCACCTGTGCCACATGGTAATGATTTTTTTTAGCAGTGAATGGATTTTTGCCCTTATGTAAATCTGTAAAAGTTGTAAAGCTAAATAGACAAATTGATCTAAAAAGTTTTTAGAGCCCGTTCAAAAGGGAATGTTAAAGTAGTTTACAGGAGAGGGAAGTTTGGACAAGTTGTATGATTTAGGATTTGAAAGCATGTTACTACATATAGGAAAAAATGAACTAGAATAGTCTTGCTATTTCACTTTTAAAATAGTTGCTGATAAATCTCAAAAGATAACATAATTACAGAATAACAGGAATTGTACTAGAATAATGGAGAAGATGTTTTGTTTTTACAGTAGAGCTGTGAAGCCTTTTGTTGTGAATATATTGAGGAAATGTCAGGTTTTATGGTGAAACTGACAAAGCAGTGACTTAAGGCATGTCATTTAACTTCTCAGAACTTGTTTCCTTTCCTGTAAAATGGGCTCATTGGCTTACTCTGAGAACAAAATTAGCCAATACATAATGCCTACCTAGTCGATCGGCGTAAAGGAAACATGCCATAAGCGGTATCTCTTATTATTCCTTCAGTATTTACCAAAGAAGGGAAATGCAAGACAGCAGTATTATGTGAGAGAAGGTTCCATCTATTAGCATCTTAAGAGATTTTAGAGGGTTGGCCAAAGTAGTTTTACATTAGTTTATATGGAAAATAACATAATTAATAAATAATGATACAAGAAGAAACTGTTTTGTGTACTCATAGGTGTAAACCTACTTTTGCCCCACCCTACATATATAGAAAAGATGGATAAAATAGTAGTCTGGGGGAAATGTATGAGTTTAATTTCCAGGAAACTTCGTGTTATCAAGAATTGCTTATGTGTTTTGAAATCATGTTTTTAATATAGTCAGCATCCTCCACATAGTGCATAATTCAAAATTAATGCCTTGGTATTTGAGTTAAGGAAGTTGAAAAATATAAGGATGCTTGGGAAGCTTTCCAAAACTGAGGCTGGAGAAGAGGAATTACAGGTTTCCAAGAGGAATGACTGTTTTCTTCTGGAAGCGGGAGTTACTTTCCAGGTATTCAGGAATCTCAGCTGTGTGGGCCATGCAGGTTGGGGAAACATTTACAGTTACAACCACCTCGTAATAGTTTTAGAGGTTTGTTTATTTTTAAACATGACTTATCTTAATGCCAACATTTTCTTTCTTTAAAAAATAGAGAAAGAAAAACAACTTAATTTTATATAAACCAGTGGGGGAGTAGAATTTGATATTCAGAAATTGTGCTTTTTATCTTTTAGGCACTCTGTCAATGTAGTAATCACACGCCAACCTTTAACAAGTGCAAAATAGTTAACATCTCTGTATAACAAATAAACAAACAAACAAAAAACTGGCCTCACTGGTGACTTAATTAAAAAATAAGATATACCAGATGTTGCATACAACATAAAATTAAACAGTTCATTAGAGTTCATGGTAACCTATTCAAGATGTATCAGGGGGTGGAGATGGGTGGGAGGTGGGGAGCACAGGGGGGCGTGGACTGGGATGGGAGTAAAACACAGAAAACTGTACTTGAACAACAATTAAATAAATTAATTTTTAAAGAAGATGTATCAGAATTAAGTCATTTTTTCTTGTAAATGGAGAAAAGTGCAATGAATGTCCAGAACTGTCATTATCACAGTAATTTCTACTTTTTAGTGTATTACATATAGCTGTAGTATAAAAAATTACAGGAAAAATTTTATTCCAAACTGGTTTGTCTTACTATTAATTGTAAAATTAATTTAACTAAGCCATTGCTGACAGTGGTGTATGGTTTAGGGGGCTTAGAAATGGCTAGGAATGTGATAACTGGTTTAATTTTTCTATAAACAACTTGGGGATATGTAATTTAGATATTTTTTCTCTTTTTATTTTACTTAATGTCATGTGCTAAACTGGCTGGAGGCCAGACTTTAAATTTAATTGGGAAGTGTAGCATAAAAGTATAATCTGTTTTTTGGGGGGGGAGGGAGTTTGGTTTTTTTGGTTTTACTTTTGGAATTTGATACTAAATTGTTCTTTAAAGAATTGCACTTGTTATTTGTAAGGGACTTTTAAAAAAGATTTTGCTTATTTATTTTTAGAGAGGGGGGAAGGGAGGAAGAGAGAGAAAAATACTGCTGTGAGAGAAACATAAATCCAGATGCACCCTGACCAGGGATGGAGCCCACACCCAGGCATGTGCCCTGACCAGAAATTGAACCAGCGACTTTCTGCTTTGCGGGATGATGTCCAGCCCACTGAGCCTCACCAATCAGGGCTGTAAGGGATTCTTAAAAAATTGCCATAACTATGTAGTGGGGACCTCATATTGTAAACTAGAAACAGGGATGTGTATATGTGTGTGTGTTTATGTGTTGATTATATATATGAAGTCTAAATAAAGAATAAAAAATAAAATTTGTTCAATTATCTTGATTAAAAATAATTTCACGAAAGCAGTGTTACCCAGGAAATTCATTCTATCGTTCTACTCCAATGCATCCGTAATTCAAATTGTAACAAGAAGCATTACTGGCCATTCACGTGACCTTTGTTTATCTACCGCAGTATAAGCAACTCAGTATAGTGTCACAGCCTGGGCTTTATCACACAGATCCGACTTGTTTCCAGATCCTGAAATCTAGTCTAGCAGAGGCTCAGCCATTAGTTACCTGCTGTTCACCTCTCATTCTGCTGCTCATATGCCTGCTCTCCAGCCATTTCAAGCTTCTATGGTCCCTTGCCCCCTCTCCTTTTCTCTAGTATATTAGCCCCTCATTGCTTTGCTTTTCCTGCCAACTTTACTTATCCATACTCCACGCCGTCAGTCAGCTTCCTGTCCCACTTGGTCCTTCTCCCCATTCACCCTGCAAATATCCATCCATCTTTTCAACCTGCCACCTACCTCTCTTGTGTCTCCCCATTCATGAATTACTAAAAGTTGCCCAAGAAAAGCATATGCTCATGTTGCCCCCACACAGCATCCTAAATCTTGACCTGGCATCTGTCACTAGGTACCACTTTTTTCCTCTTCTTCGGTTTGCTATGATGTGGCTTTCACTCTCCCTACTTTGTTGGAATTACTCAAGCCATGACCACTGATGACATCTTAAATTATCCAGTCCATTGCAGTCTTCTCTTGCCACATGTCTTTACTAACCACACCTTTTAAAAATGTTTCCCCCTTGGCTTTTGGGGCATCAAGCTCTCTTCATTCTCATTCTGCGTCTCTGGTTACTTCTACTTTGCCAGCAGCTTTTTCTCTGCCCGCTCCACAGTTTTACATCCTACTTGTCTGTGAATACTGTACCCTGTCCATAGGTGATTTATGTACTTCCACAGCTTCAAGTAAATACAACCTGTAAATAGAGATGCCCAAATCTTTAAGCCAGGGTCTCCCTGCCCAGTTCCAGGCTTAGGCTTTAGCTACCTACAGAAATTTAAGTTTATCTAGAACTTGGTTTCTTCTCTTTTCCCTCAAACCTGCTGTTCCTTCTGCATTCCGCATTTTTATTAATTACTCTTCATTTTATATAAGCATCAATACATAATTGTTGAATCTTGCTTACAAGCCTTATTCTGCCTCAAAAGTACCACCCCTGTCCCACTACTACTGCCTTAGTTTGGACTTTACTATCTTTCAAATGCTTTCTTGTAAAAATGTTATACTTGCATACTTAATCCAGTTTATATTTTATCTAATATTTATTCAGTAATGTTGATCCTTCACCCAAACTTGTGCCGGTCCGTATACTGCTGTCTAAGCATACACGGCGATGAGCAGAAACAGGAATAGTCCCAGCTCTCGGGGCTTACTTTCTAATGGGGGGGGACAGAAATTATTGAAGTAATCACACCGAGAGTGTGTGTTTTGAAAGGCAGGCAGTACTCTTAGATAATCTAACAAAGTGCATGGCCTGCTCTAAGAGACAGGGCAGGCTTCCTTGAAAAGGTATGGTTGAACTGGGACCTGAAGGGGAAGGTTCCCCAACACTTCAGGTAACGGTGCACAGCAGACCGTGTGGCAGGAGGAATGCGAGGAGCAAAGGAGCAGGAAGAAATGGCCAGAGATGAGGTGAGAGGCCCAGGTGAGGGGTCAGACCAGGTATTGTTTGTTGTACCGGCCACATTGGCGATTGTGTTTATCCTAGAAAGAACTGGATGTCAGTGAAGGATGTTTGGGTGGAGGGAGACCAGAGGAGAGGTGTTAACACAATCAAAAGATGATTCTGGTTGCAGTGTATAGATCTGAGGGGACCTGAGAGACCACTTACTAAGCCACAGTCAGCCAGCTTCCCAAAGAGCACGTATGAACTTCCCTCGCCTCAGAATTTTCCAGTCGTACTAAAATAAATAAAATCCAAACTACTTAGCTCACAAACAAGGCCCTTTCTAGCACTTGATAGCTTTTTCTAGGCTTCTACCACTTCTGATGTGTGCCCTTGGCAGGCCTTGGTTTATTGCTACTTGGCTTTTGCGCTTTCTATCTTTGCCACCTATGCTGCCCTCTTCATCCCCCTAGTCAACCTAACTTTTCCAGCGAGGCAGCTCCCTGACCCTCACCACATCCTCCGAGAAGCCTTTCCAGAACATGCCTCATTCCCCACCCAGGAAAACACCAAAAACCAAAAATGTGTTTATCTTGAATACCCACTGGCACTGATTCTACAGTATTATCATAATTTTGTCTTCCTGGCCCAAGTAAGCTCCTAGTCATCAGGGTTTATATCCTTCATCTTTATTATATTTTCTTGTCTAGCACAGTGCTGGTACCAATAAATATTAAGCAAGCATTCCATTTTTCTGTTCTGACCACTTTAGTTTTACCAGTAGTCAGCTCAGTTAAATATTTATTGACCACTTAGCTATGCCAGGTGTGTGGGAGAGTAACACACACACAGCACAGAGCCTACTTTTGTTTTGTTTTTTTAAGTATATTAACTTTATTAAATACAATGCAACCAGTACTGTGTACTGTCATGTTTTGAAGCAATATTTAGTTACATTGAAAAGTATGATATAATGTTAGGTGGAAAAAAACAAGGTATAAAACTGAATATGTGAACTTAATCCAAGTTTTATAAAATATTCATACATTCATTTTTAAAAGCCTGAAAGGATATGGAGTTGACTTTTTTCCCCAGACCCTGCCTTTGATCCATTTTTTGTCATGGCAACTGTGCTTTCATTTCTTTTATTAATTTACATTAATTTTTTTCTTGATAGGAACTGTGTGTTCATTGTACAAGTCTAGAGTAGAGAAACCACCTGTCAAATTACTGTTTAATGGAACTGCAGAGAATGTTTCTTTTGAAGTCTTAAAGTTAGGAGTGAATTATACAATCTCATCTAAATTGAAGATGCTCAGGTGAATTCTGCGAATTCCCACCCTCATTTCCTTGATGATCGCGAATTCTACTCGTGCATGTCAGCGTGCCCTTGGTTCTCAGATTTGGGGACAGAAGATGTAATATTTCCCCCGATCTACTGTTTGGGAGGTCCTAATTGATCTTTTTTCTTCTTTCTAGGTAACAGCAAAAGCTGCTATCATTTTTGTTACTCTCCAGTACAATGTTACCCTCCCTGCAACGGGTAGGTAGTTTCCTTGTAGAATTTTCTGCTTAAGTGGAGTTCACTTGGACAAACGGAAATGTCCGTGGTACACAAGGTTCTTCATTAACTTTCACAAATCTCATTCATGAGTAGACTGAACATTATTTTGGTGATTTTGTAAAGTAAGAGCTAATATATTTGGTTGGCTTCACCCTATATATTATATGGAAATCAGTTTTTTATGTGTTTAATGTTTGTTTTATATTTTTGTAAATAGGCCTAAAATTTCATCAAAGAACTTTTTTTGCCTTCTCTTTCCTCTGATATTTTCATAAGAAAATTCTAAGCATAGATACTTTATATTTGTTAAGTTTCAAAGTTCAATCAAGGATTCTGAAGGCACAATGTTTAGGTTCAGTTTTTTTGAACTAATGAGTTATGTTTTGGACCTATAATAACAATCCTTTAAAGCCTATTTTTTATTTTCAGTTTTCTGTTGTGCTCTACCTATAACATTATTTTAATTACAGAGGATGTCAGTAGGTTCTAGATGTTATTTGCACCAAAACTATACTTTTAGGTTGTATTTCAAAAGGCATTCTAAATTATGCTATGTGAAAAACAAGTTGTTACTAGAAGTTGATTGTAGTTGAATACAGTAATATAATAAACTGGCATGGGTATGGAATGGGGTATTCAGTTCACTCAGGTGGTAAACTTATGTAATATTGAGTTGGATTTTTGTCCCATTATATATTGTTGTAAATATTTGATTGAGTTAAGTATCAGATAACTGAAAGCCACAAAGTTGTTTTGAAATTTGAATGTGCCAGAGAAGAATGAAGCACTTCCACCAGTTCCCAGGCACAGTAGCAGTTGACTCTATCTCTATTATAATGGGTCGGCCAAAGTCTGTAGTTTTTTCTGTAAAATAAAAGACACGTTTTTCATTTTCATCAATAACTTTTTGATTTATGTATTTTGAGTATCTTGGTTATCTCCCACTGTTGACTTCTAGTGGGTAGAGGCCAGGGGTGCTGCTAAACACCACAGCAAAGGATTATTTGGCCAAAATGTCAATAGTACCAAGAAACTTCATGAACCACTTCTGACACATTCAGTCAATCACAGGACCTTCTCCATACATTGCACATTTTTTTTTGCATTTCCGTTGCATTTTTACCTTTCTTAATAAAGCATAATATGCCAAAAATGTTTTATATCGTCCATCTTCAGTATTAAAATGGCTGCACAAAAATTCACCAGTTTTGGTAAATTTTTTCAGTGCATGCCGATATGACAGCTGTCACAATACAATCCAACAAAATTGTTTCAGATGAAGTTAAAGACAACTAAGCACTACTAGAGCCATTGTATGGGAAAAAATTAAATGAACTTTTTAGACAGTCCAGTAGATCAAAGCAATCAAATACAGGTTAAATCACTTTTCCTTTGGAATCATAATGTAGTGTATAGTTGGAAAGTAGAGTTAGAAAGTAGAAAGTTTCAAAGTTCTTTAAAAATACAGGCAAATGGGCTGATCTCTATGCCTGGGATGTCAGTTTTCCAGTCTTCCCAAGTTGCTGAGTGTGGCCACCCCTCCCATGTTTTTTGGTTTTTAATGGCTGTGACTAACATGTGTCAAATCTTTGTAAGTAATTTCAGAAGCTTTTGATTTGTACATAGTCTCCTCAATTTTCATTGTTGCCATGACTCAAGATGTCCAAAAGTGAATTACCATAGTGTTTCTGTAGTACTTAGTAGATTAGTCATCTTTCGTTTGTTTCCATAACTATGTTGTACTTAGTGCTGTTTTTATAATCTCATGTATATTTTTGTGTATGTCCTTTTTGGCCTTCAGAAGAACAAGCTACTGAATCAGCGTCTTTTTATTACTATGGTATCAAAGATTTGGCTACAATTTTCTTCTACATGCTAGTGGCGATAATTATTCATGCCATAATTCAAGAGTATGTGTTGGATGTAAGTATACAATCTTAGAAATCTATACTTTGTAAAATACTAGCTCTCCATACTATGGTTGTCATATATTAAATGTATTTTATAATCTTAATCATTGATTGTTTTTATTTTTAGAAAATTAACAGGCGAATGCACTTCTCCAAAACAAAACACAGCAAGTTTAATGAATCTGGTCAGCTTAGTGCATTCTACCTATTTTCTTGTATTTGGGGCACATTCATTCTAGTATCTGTAAGTATGTTTAAACTTTTGTCTCTTAAATTATTTACATTATATACCCAGAACAGAAAATGATGTCCTATTTTTTAGTGTAAGCTAACTCTGAACCTTAGAAAATCTTTCTTGTTTTGTGATCTAAGATTAGAAATTCTACTAATGAGCTAATATAAAGCAAGTTTCATTGATAAATCTCTTTTAAGTTAGTTTTTGTACAGCAGAAATTCTAAACTGTGCTTCATGTTTCAGAAAGCCTTACTTATTTTTAGTTAATTGAATATTATTTTTATATCTTATAGTGATTTGCAGATATCTCTGTAGTAGCAAAAGGGTAAGATGTCAGTGATTCTTCTGCGAGGTTACTTGAATTGTAACATTTCCCCCTTTAAAAAAAGTTCAAATATTTTTCAAGCAACTTTAAATGTTTATTAACTTTGCAGGTAAGGCTTTCTAAATTTTAAGTGTATGGTTCTAACTAATGATGGGGGAAGGCTCTATCAACCTTAGTATTAGTATTAGTACTCCAGAGTTCATGTATTTTTAAGTTTGTTGGGGCACATAATTTTTTCAATCACCGTGTTAGAGATGAAAAATAGGCAAAGTAAATTTTCCAGGCTGCAACACTTAATGTTGGAGACAGGCTAAAATGCAGCCTGTCAATCCAGTGCTCATTCCACTTTGCTCAGCTGTTTTAATGATACTTACAGATATGTGTGTATTTCAGCTTAAAATCTATCTTATAAATTATTTTTAAAAAACGAAAGTGTTACATTTCATTGGGAAAATATTCTTATTAAAGATAGATCACTTGAAATTTTTTTTCTTACACAATAATTCTCACTGACTAGTTCTGGTTATCTAAGAAAAAGATTTGGTGAGTATGTGGACATAATCCTATAAAACTTGGCAGCACTTAGATCTTCTGTCTCCCGGCCCGGTGTTGCCTCTTTCCTGAAATCCTCTCTGATGACCCGAGATAAAATCTCTCGAAGCTGGTGTAGCTCTGTTATGTCCCATGTCTGTTTGGGTTGTTTCATGCTTGCTTGCATACATGTACTTTTTACCCCACTGGATTGAAAAAAGTTTGAAGGCCAAGAATTATGTCATATTTGACTTTGTACCTCTCATTGATTTTTCACTTTACTAAAGTAAACCATTCAGCTGAGTTGACAATAACTAAAAAGTTTGACCTCGGGGGCTCTTTGGAATTTGATGTGCAAGAAGTGAAAATACTGACTTATTTTCCAAGAAGTTTGCATTATACTAACAGACTGATTTTTATATGTTCTTTCTTAGGAAAACTACATCTCAGACCCAACTATCTTGTGGAGGGCTTATCCCCCTAACCTGATGACGTAAGTCATTTCTAGCAGGGTTTCTTAGTTAAGGACCACAATCATGTCATTTTCAAGCAGAATTTATTCTTACTCTTTTAGTACCTTAGGCAGATTCATACAATTGTATCTTTCGCAGACCTGCTGCCATTAAAAAGAAAAATTCCTGTATGCTTTTTTCAGAAATAGGATCTTTTCAACATGTTTGTTAGCTTGAGGAGACTGATTATAACAACAATCTCTAGTTTAGTACTCTGTGCTTTCTTTTCCCTCCTTTCTCCTCTTCACTGCTCCATTTTCTCCATAGGTTTGTTCTTTTTCTTTGCCTTCATCTCTTCACTCCTTCCATTTTTCATTCTCTTATACTCTAAGCTTGAGGGTGGGGACTATTTCGTTTTCATCTTCTAGCCCCTAAGGTTTTTGTACAGTGCCATAAGAAGCTTAGTGGTTATAAAGGCATTCAGATAAAGTACTCATTCTCCAAGGCCAGCTCTGGTACAGCTATTCCACATTGTTTCTGTACTTAGCCTGCATTATCTTTTCCTTGCCTGAGTTTGCCATTGTGGTGCCTGTTTTATATGGTATCCGTACATCCTTTTAGGTGGTCCATAATTGTGTCATTTATGTCTTAATTTTGTGCCCATGTCCACCGACACTGCCTTGACTGCAGTAGAAACTCTTTATTTTATGTCCTTCGTTGTGCCAGGCTGGAGGTGCTTATCACCACACATGATTCAGTAAATGCACTATGATGTGAGCATCAGAGGAAAGACGTAAAGGGAATACTATGACCACGTGTATGTTCATATCTTCAAGTCCAGCAGTTTTACAAGATGGGTTACAAACATCATATTTATGTGGGATTGTATTTCCCCCTAACTCTCCTGGAAAGTATTTTAAATTGGCTTCATATTTTCTGTTTTAAACTTCCAAAGGAGAAGGAGAAGGGAGAATAAAGAGAAGGCAGAAGGACTGGAGGGGTACAGTGTACGGGGGAGACTAGCGATTCCGGAGTGATTAGGATATGTCTGCCAGGGAATCCTTCACTGCCTTATTCCTCTCTTTAATCCTGGTTTGCCTCCATTTATTTGAACTCTCAGTGTTCTAACCAGGTAGAGTTATCATATCTCACTAAGGAAAAAGTCGGAGTATTAGAAATTGGGATTATCCTAGTTTCAGGTGACTTTTAATCCATGCGCCTTTGCTTTTGTGTCAGTCTTGTGCCTTTCCACTTCCCTTTTGATGAGACCTTACGGATCTGCGTTTAGATTCCCTCAGTCGTGTCCCTTGTGTGTTCGGAAGCTAACATGACACAAAAGTCATTATTAGTTAACTGATAGACAAGGGCCTCTGGTTCTTCCCAGCTAGCTTGCATGTTAACAGGTTTCTTCAGATGCTGTCTTTGCTTCTGCTGTTTAATCCAGACAGACTGACTAACGGTGGAACTCTCCCAGGGAGACAGGGGAGGTGGCCGAGGGAGAGGTGTTGAAAGGGAAACAGTATAAGGGCACCCAAAATGATAACACAAAGGTAACTGCTTAGTATACCCTCATGTTCAGTGTTTGTTTTTAACTTTATTTTTAAAAAATAATCAGGCTTTGAAATGTATTTTTTACTTTCTTGTGTTATACAGATTTCAGGTGAAGTTTTTCTACATATTACAGTTGGCTTACTGGTTTCATGCTTTTCCTGAGCTCTACTTCCAGAAAACTAAAAAAGTAAGCTGGGATTTTGTCATTTTAAATTTATCTTGTCATTTTTTCCTTTTCTCTCTCAAACCTCCCACTAACCTGAGCCCTTGCCCTCCTCTTCTCCCTGCTTCCATCTTTCCACAAAGACTAGGTATCCTTAGGTATTTGTTGGGTGGAAAAACCTTTAGTCACTATTTTAACTTGGGGGAGTCTTTTACATTTGACATGTCAGATGTTCATTTTAAAGTTATGGGCCGTCCTTGTTAGTATAGTGGTGACTATCCCTGCCTGTCACGCGGGAGACCGGGGTTCGATTTCCCAACAGGGAGGCAACATTAACCTTAGGAGACTTCCACCAAGATGGAGGTGTAGGTGGAAACACTGTCCCTTCTTGCACAACCAAGTTTAAAGACAACAAAATTTTTAGTAACAAAAAATGCAGCCGAAACACAGAAAATTGAACTATCCCAAAGTCTGACAACAACGGATCCTTCAGCCAGACCGGTAAGAGGGGCAGAGCCAGCGGCTGGCGGAGCAGGGTCTCGCAGGAAAGATCCACGGGACCGACCCAGGTGCCAGGTGGCGGTTGGCAGATCCCAGGTGTAGGATTGCCATGGGCAGACCCAGTGAGGGCACAAGGCGGCAGGCTGACCACAGTCACACATTCGAGCACAGATAAACCAGTGAAGGAGTGAGCGGTGAGACAGACTGTGCAGGCCCCAGTGGCGGGAAGCAACAGAGGGGACCGCCATTGTCCCTCTCTGACCCTGCTCCCACATACAGCATCACAAACTAGCGACCTGGGTGGCCCTGCCCTGGTGAACACCTAAGGCTCTGCTCCTCATACCTAACAGGCACAAACAGATCAAAACATGGCTCAAGAAGAACTCAGGACCCCAGAGCCCATAATTCTAAGCGACCAAGAAATAGCCAAACTCTCAGATGCACAGTTCAAAACACTGGTGATCAGGATCCTCACAGAACTGGTTGATTATAGTCACAAATTAGACAAACAAATGAAGGCTAAACTAATTGAAGGGAAATGCACAGGAAACCAATAGTGATGGAAAGGAAACTGGGACTCAAATCAAAGGAGTGGACCAGAAGGAGGAAAAAAATGACCAAACAGAAAAGTATGAAGAAACAAGAATTCAAAAAAAAATGAGGAGAGGCTTAGGAACCTCCAGGACATCTTTAAACGTTCCAACATCTGAATTATAGGGGTACCAGAAGGGGAAGAGGAACAGCCACGAGTGGAACATTTATTTGAACAAATAATAAAGGAGAACTTCCCCAATCTGGCAAAGGAAACAGACTTCCAGGAAATCCAGGAAGCTCAGAGAGTCCCAAAGAAGTTGGACCCAAGAAGGGACATACCAAGGCACATCATAATTACATTAGCCAAGGTTAAAATAAAGGAGAGAATCCTAGAAGCAGCAAGAGATAAGGGGACAGTCACTTACAAAGGCGTTCCCATCAAACTCAGCGGATTTCTCAAAAGAGACCTTACAGGCAAGAAGGGGTTGAAAAGAAGTATTCCCAGTCGTGAAATCCAAAGACCTACATCCAAGATTGCTCTATCCAGCAAAGTTTTCATTTAGAATGGAAGGACAGATAAAGTGCTTCTCAGATAAGATCAAATTCAAGGAGTTCATTCTCACCAAGCCCTTATTATATGAAATGTTAAAGGGACTTACCTAAGAAAAAGAAGATAAAAAATATGAACAGTGAATGGACAGCAAACTCACTTTAGGTGTAGTTATTAACAACCACACCTAAAACAAAAGCAAACTAAGAGGACAGTTAGATCAGGAGCAGAACCAGAGAAATGAAGATCACATGGAGGGTTAACAACAGGGGAATGGGAGGAGGAGAAGGGGGGAGAAGGTACAGAAAATAAGTAGCATAGACGGTAGCATACAGAAAATAATAGATAGGCGGGAGGGTAAGAATAGTAGGGGAAATAAAGAATCTAAAGAACTTGAGACACGTGGTCAGAAACTAAAGGGGGGAATGGTGGGGGAGGGGGTGCAGGGTAGAGGGGAATGAAGGGGGGAAATAGAACAACTATATTGGCATAATCAATACAATTAATTTAAAAAATAAAATAAGTTGTTATATTAGTAGTAATTTAAAATAAATTAAGTTTTGAAATGTAATGTTAATTTCATATTCTTGGTATAAGTATTAATCAGATTTGCTACAGCTAATGGTTCTGTGTGTAATTCCCAAAGAAAAACTTTGTATTGAAAAAAGTAAACCATAGTTAAATATTCACCGGTGAAGCTTTTCCTGAACTGGGTGGAGAGTGCCCTTTTTAGCATGTGGGAAAGGTGTTTGTCTTATTTGGACAAAGAAACTCCTGGAGCACTGCAGTGTTCTTTCTTCTAGCTTTACCCTCAGTACTTCTGAAGTCAGACTTCCGTGATCTCACAGCGCAACTTTATTTAACTCTTTCTCCTGTAAAATCTGTGCTAGCTCCCTGTTGCTTTAAACTAAACTAGAGTTGCCGGCCTGTGCTCGAGGGTCTCATCTGTGCCGCCTCCTCTGGCCCCTTTTCCTCTGCTCTCTCCTCTGTTTTATTCACATTAATATTCTCTAATTTTATAATGCTAACACATCAGTTTTTTCTCCTGGAATACCTTTTCCCTGTGATAAATTAGTGATGTACTTTTATTTAAGGGGGAAAGGTTATTTTAAAATTCCACTCTTTGAAATTATACATAAGTGGGAATGTGGATAAAGCAAGTTTGCTCATGAGTTAATGCCTCTCGAAGCTGGGTTGTGGGTGCATGGGGATTCATTTAACTCTGTTTGTGTATATTTTTCCACATTTAAAACATTTGTAATTACCTTATTTTAAGTTTTCCCAAGTAGAAGTGTTAACCACCCTTCCAATGACCAGTTTCTCTCTGCCTTCTCAAGTGCCACAATCACTTCTGTATGTGCTGCAAATAGTTAATTAATGAGTGTAGTTTCTTGACTTATTACTGTTTTGTATCATATATGTCTTTTCATTATTGATGTTGTCTGCTGCGATGGAAAAACAGCACCAGATTAAAGTTCATGTACTATGGCTTGAAAGTTCTTTTTATGTTGATGTCTTTTATAAAGTAGAATGTTTTTTTCTACTTTTAAGTTGATTGTAAGAATTAGGATAATGACACAAAACCTTTGATCTAGAACTGTCTTTTTTTTTTTTTTAGTTATTGCCCAAAGATATGTTTATTGATTTTAGAGAGAGGGGTGGGAAGAGAGAGAAACATTTATTGGTTGCCACCCATACCCACCCCAACTGGGGATCAAACCCACAATTGAGGTATGTGCCCTGACCAGAAATCGAATCTGCAACCTTTTGGTTTATGGGACGATGCTCCGGGTAACTAAGCCCCCCATCCAGGGCTGATGTAGAACTGTCTGAAGGTAAAATTCTTAGACTCAAAATGTCCAGTAGCCCTTCCATACTCCACTAAGCACCCAGTGGGAACCGTAGATGTCCTAGCGCTGCACTGTCTAAAACAGTAGCCACTAATCACATTTAAATAAATTAAAATTGAACAAAAACAAAACGGACTTTCTAGGTCACACTGGGCCTGTCTCAAGTTTCATTAGCAGCATGTGGCTATACTACCATTGTGGATAACAGAGAAGAAAATGTTCCCATCACTGCAAAAAATTCTTGGGACAGCACTGCTGAAAATATCAGTGTCTTGATGTCTTAGTACCATGGCTCAGATATTTAAAGCTTTCTCATCTACTTTTATACCCATGGACCAAAATACACCTTTGGGTTTCGCTATTAATTCATATGTCTATATTTTGTTCACTGACCATGTAAGTAGAGAGGAATCTTTCAGAGTAATTGTTCATTTAGTTCTCCAAGCTCTTTTCTTATCAGTTCCTGCCAGATGGCATTTCTCCAAAAATGCAATCTAATTTTTGTGGGATAATTTGCATAACTTAGAACTTAACTGAAACTATTTTTAACACCTACATATTACAGTCAAAAGTAACTGTTTCAAGTAATTAACATAGCTTGAAAGTAACAGCTGCATATGTGTTAAACAGTTTCTTAAAATTTACTTTGAAAATTATTTTCGGAAGAACTCTTTACTGAGAGAAACTAGTATAGTGATTGTTTTGAACCAGTCCTGCAGAGAAGTGAAGAAAGAAGGGGACACTGTTGGTACCAGTTCCACAGGTGTGTTAGTCACGAATAACTCAGTTGTTCTTAAGAATATTTTAATTACATATAGTATGTATGCTTCAATATAAACAATCCCCCATTTTGCCCATGAGAAGATTCAAAATGTAATTTCTTTAGCCACTTCCCCTCCACCCTGCATACCCCTCCCCCACCATTTCCCCCTTTAGTTCATGAACATGTGTCTCAATTTCTTTAGATTCTGTATTTCCCCTACTATTCTTACCCTCCCCCCTATGTATTTTCTATCTACTATCTATGCTACTTATTTTCTGTACCTTCTCCCCCCTTCCCCCTCCTCCCACTCCCCTATTGCTAACCCTCCCTGAGATCTTCATTTCTCTGGTTCTGCTCCTGATCTAGCTATCCTCTTAGTTTGCTTTTGTTTTAGGTGTGGTTCTTAATAACTGTGAGTTTGCTGTCCTTTCACTGTTCGTCTTTTTTATCTTCTTTTTCTTAGGTAAGTCCCTTTAACATTTCATATAATAAGGGTTTGGTGATGATGAACTCCTTGAATTTGGTCTTATCTGAGAAGCACTTTATCTGTCCTTCCATTCTAAATGAAAGTTTTGCTGGATAGAGCAATCTTGGATGTAGGTCTTTGGATTTCATAACTTGGAATACCTCTTTCCAGCCCCTTCTTGCCTGTAAGGTCTCTTTTGAGAAATCAGCTGACAGTCTGATGGGAACTCCTTTGTAGGTGACTGTCCCCTTAGCTCTTGCTGCTTCTAAGATTCTCTCCTTCATTTTAATCTTGGCTAATGTAATTATGATGTGCCTTGGTGTGTTCCTTCTTGAGTCCAACTTCTTTGGGACTCTCTGAGCTTCCTGGATTTCTCGGAAGTCTATTTCCTTTGCCATCTTGGGGAAATTCTCCTTTATTATTTGTTCAAATAATTTTTCAACTGGTGGTTGTGCCTTTCCCCCCTTCTGGTACCCCTATAATTCGGATGTTGGAACGTTTAAAGATGTCCTGGAGGTTCCTAATCTTCTCCTCATTTTTCTGAATTCTTATTTCTTCATTCCTTTCTGTTTGACCATTTTTTTCTTCCTTCTGGTTCTCTCCCTTGATTTGAGTCCCAATTTTCTTTCCATTACTATTGGAATCTTTTGTATCCCCATTCATTTCAATTAATTTAGCTTCCATATGTTTCTCTAATTTGTGGCTAAAGTCAACCAGTTCTGTAAGGATCTTTATAACCAGTGTTTTGAACTGTGCATCTGAAAGACTGGCTATTTCTTCATCGCTTAGATCTATCGGTTCTGGGGCTCTAAGTTGTCCTAGAGCCATTTTTGGTCTGTTCGCGCTGTTAAGTGAGCGGAGCGAAGCCTTAGTTGTTTACCAGGACGGGGCGACCCAGGTCGCTGGTTTGTGACGCTGTGTGTGGGGGGCGGGGTCAGAGAGGGAGCAATGGCGTTCCTCTCCGCTAGCCCAGCGTTTCCAGTCACTCTGCACGCATGGGGTTTATCCGATCGGTATTGCGCCGGCTTCCCTTCTCACTGGCTTCTCCGCACGTAAATGCGCGCGACTGAGCGACCCAACGCCCCCTTCTTTGTGCGCTCCGGCAGCCAGCTCGCTCGCAATCGCGCCCTCGGTTCCCTGCGCGAACCGCGCACCGCCCCGGGAATTTTTTCTTGCTAACCTGCTCTGCTGCTGGCCTGGCTCCTCGTACCGGTCCAGCCGAGTATCTAGTTGTCCTTTGGACTCCGTATTGTCGATTTTCCGTGTGGCTTGGTTGTGACTGCTGTTAAAAATAGCTGTTCTTAGATTTGGTTGTGCACAGAGGCGAGGTGGACCCTCCACCTACTTCTCCATCTTGGCGGAAGTCCCCAAAATGTAATTTCTTAGCCAAATCGAATATATGAAGTTTTGGGGAAGTGTGGATGAGGCATCCAAATGTTTTATTTCTGCTATTCAGTTCATTTAATTATACATACAAAAACTATATCATATAAAGGATAATAAATTAGAAATAATACCATTTTCCCCATTCATACTTTATGAAAATTATATTCATACTTTCCTTATGCAACCTTGTCACTATGTCATTTATCACTAGAGCATTTATCACTTTGGAATCCTCTAACTCCATTTTTCAAAGTACATTGTTTTCTTACCCCCCCACTGGACCTCTGTAAGCATTTAGAAATGATGCTGACTGAGATTTTGTAGATTACTGTCATGGGAGAGCTTTAAAATTCTTAAATATGAGATGGCTTCCTCTGTGGTTTGAGGGGGAATCTGTGCCTTAACATTTGGGCATGTATGTGGTGCTCAGTTTAAAGTAAAGTTTTTTAGTACAGTGTGCTCAAGAAAAGCTTTCTATAAGAAACATACAGAAGTTCACTGAAGTATGTGGTTGACCTATTAAATAAAAAGTTGGAATAACAACCAAAAATGTCACTTGAAATTATTTATAATTTTAGAATCTGGTTTGATTTAGTGTTCCATATTAGATTTTCCTTGGAAAGTGAAAATATCAGAATTTGATGTCATTTTTCCATGATTTCATTCTTCTGTGAACTACTTGAACATTAGCATTAAGAATATATCAGCGGCCCTGGCCAGTGTGGCTCAGTTGGTTGGAGCAGCGTCCTGTGGCCAAAGAGTTGCAGGTTTGCTCCCCAGTCTGAGCCCTGGTGGGAGGCAGCCAATAGTGTTTCTCTCGCACTTCAGTGTTTGTCCTGCCCCACCCCCCACTCCTCTAAAAGCAGCGAAGAAAAGTTCTTGTGTAAGGATTGAAAAAATAAAAAGAACATATAAGCAGTTGGCAAAGCTTTTCTAATGACTCATTTTCATTATATTTTTTTTTCATTTGAGTGTAAAAAAGTTCTTAATCTTTAAACAAACAAGCAAAACCTCATTTCTGGCTCCTGCTATGAAAAGTTTATTTACATAACAAAATCTTACATAGTGTATCATGCATCAAGCATGTATATACCATATTAAGTTACTTTTATTACACTACAACTAGCTGTTCTGAAATGATTATGAGAAAAGAGATGTTTCCCTTTCTTCTTTCGTAAGGAGAAGTATTTCGTCAGAAATTTGACAGTTATGTGGAGAGGATCTTAAGATAGAATGTTCAGAGAGACACTTCTCTCTCCAGTTGGAGAACCACTGTACACTTGGTGTTACGTCTCGGGAGTTTTCCCTGAGAGTCTCCAAACAGTTCCGTCTGTAGGACTATTCAACTGTCTTATGTTTTCTAACACTTGATCTTTGTACCCCTCTTACTAGAGGAGTGTTTTCCGTTTCCAGACTACACTTATAAAATACCTACTTTTTGGATTGAGCGCGGGCCTGTGAACCAGACAATCGCGGTTCGATTCCCAGTCAGGGCACATGCCGGGGTTGCAGGCAGGTTCCCTGCAGGCCATTTCCCAGCAGGGGATGCACGAAAGGCAACCATACATTGATGTTTCTCTCCCTCTCTCCTTCCCTTCCCCTCTAAAGATAAATAAATAAAATTTTTTAAAAAAATACCTACTTTTTCTCACAAGACTCAGTGAAGTAACTCTCTGCTGAAATGACAGAAAGCTACATACATACAGGTTCCCCCCACTGTACAAAAGTAGATTATTCCTATGAAACCTTTCATAAGAAGAAATGCCTTTAAAGCAAAGAAGCAGTTTGCCTTACTGATGGATGCACACCATAACTGAGATAAAGCACAGATGCTCACAGACACAGTTCAAAGCCCTGGTGGTCCAGTGCTGAGATCTGGGATGTAGTTCCTGGGGAAGGACCTGGTGGGCTCCCCGCTCTTCTCTAACGCCTCACTGCCAAACATGCCGAATGTGCTTCTCACTTGTTGCCTCTTCTTGAACCATCCTCTCTGGATTTCTTTCAGTTATAAAAACAGATACTAATGTAGTCTTGTAAAAGCAAAGTGGTACAGAATGACCTTTGGAAAAGCCAGGGGATACCTGTATGTGGAAAACTGCCAAAATTGGAGAGTGCAGACATGCGAAGTACAAGCATTTCATAAATCAACCAGTGTTTGTTGGGTTCAACACTATATTTTGCTAATATTCTTGACTGCAACCCAAGATGAAAACTAGATTTCACATCATAGTCCTATGTGTATATGAGTGTTTGTGTGTAAAATCTGGAGTAAAATTTTCCTGGAACAGTACAGTGGGCTAGCTGTACACTGTAGCATTTTCTATTCTATTTCACATTTTAAAAGAGGGTAGTGTGACCTCCTAAATTGATTTCATGATCCATTTAAAAAACACATTGCTTCTAGGATAACCAGATTACTAGGGACTATGGAAGAATAAAAGAAGCAAAACTAAAATGTGAGTACTTGACTTAAAGGGTTATTAAGAAGAGAATGAATATATAATTAGGTGGTATCCTAAATGAGAAGATAAAATTTTAACCTTTAATTTTAATAACTTTAACTGATAATGAAAGGGATTAAAGGCATGAGCTAAGTCTTAGCCAGGTAGCTCAGTTGGTTAGAGCATCATCCTGATAAGCCAGCATTGTGGGTTCGATCCCCCATTAGAGCACATACAAGAATCAACCAATGAATGCATAAGTAAGTAGAACAATAAATTGATGTCTGTATGTCTGTCTCTCCCTACGCCGCCCTCCCTTTCTCCCCCCTCTCTAAAATCAATAAATCTATAAATAAAAGCATAAGCTAAAAAATGTAAATACTGTTTTAGGTAAACAAAAGCACCTTGACTGCTAAGCAAAGCAATTTTGATGTTAGAAGGGCATTATCATAGTGTCATTTAATAAATGTTTATTATAAAAGGAACCATAGATCTTAGCACTGAAAGGGATTTTGAGTTCATCTAACTGAAGCAAACCCAAGTATTATTCCCGTGTTACAGGCAAGGTAGCTGCAGCCAAACGAGGTTAAATGACCAATTGAAGCCATACTATAGTTGGGATGAGCAGCTCGGGTAGAGTACAGCGGCAGATTAGCCTTCAGGTCTTCTATATAGTATGCTTTTCACCCTGGCACACTGTTCCTAAAGAACAAGTGTTTCAGCATGTTTCACCTGTAATGCAATTTTCTGTTTACAGGAGGATATTCCTCGGCAGCTTGTCTACATCGGTCTGTACCTCTTTCACATTGCTGGAGCTTATCTTTTGAAGTAAGTTGGGATTTTTCATGGGTGACTAGATGAACTGGGAAGATAGTATGATAAGCTGTCTTAACTAATAAGTAACTTTTACATTTTAAATTTGTTCCTTTAACAGCTTGAATCATCTAGGACTTGTTCTTTTGGTGCCGCATTATTTTGTTGAATTTCTTTTCCACATTTCTCGCCTGTTTTATTTCACCGATGAAAAGTACCAGAAAGGGTAAGTTGGTTAGCCGTCCTCTTCCTGTAATTAAAGCCAGTGCGGGTGTTGTTGAGGGGGTGCTATGGGCAATTATGTTGAACTTTGTAAGTTGTTACTAGCAACTTTAAACATGGTATTTATTTACTTTTTAGAGAGGAAGGGAGGAGAAAAAGAGGGAGAGAAACATCAGTGTGTGGGAGATACATTGATTGGTTGCCTCTTGCAAGCCCCCAACTGGGGTGTGGGGACCTGGCCCACAACCCGAGCATGTGCCCTGACTGGGAATGGAACTGGCAACCTTTTTTGCAGGCCAGTGCTCAGTCCACTGAGCCACACCAACCAGGGCATGTAGCAGCTTTAAATAATATGAAGCTAATAGCAATTCAGGTTGGTATTTTATTCCTTAAAATGGAACCTACCTTAGGCTAGAGAGAGATTACGTTGGAACTTACAATTCTGAAGGTTTTTGGGGTTTACTTTTCTAACTTTTCCTATCTTAATGCATGTTTTTCTTTTGGACAAGGAATAATAGGGAAGTGAACTTTGAGGAGAAAGTGAAACAATAGATTATATAACCTTAAAGATACTAAAATATTTTGGTGGGAAAATTGATCTGAAAACAGAATTGAAGCAGTACAACTGTAAAATCTTTAAAAGTAGAGCTAAGCCCTGGCCGGTGTATGTAGCTCAGTGGATTGAGTGCGGGCCTGCGAACCAGACAATCGCTGTTCAGTTCCCAGTCAGGGCACATACCAGGGTTGCAGGCTAGTTCCCTGCAGGGGACGCATGAAAGGCAACCATACATTGATGTTTCTCTCCCTCTCTCCTTCCCTTCCCCTCTAAAGATAAATAAATTTAAAAAAATAAAAAGTAGAACTAAGACTCTTAAATGATAATTGGCGTCCTTTTTCCAGCACAGTATTTATTGTGTTTCATCCAGCAGTTTTCAAAATTATTATATATACCAGTAATTCTGAGGATCATTAATAGTAGTTAAATTTAAAAAATGATAAGCTAAACAAAAAATTAAACATTACTGGACTTCTAGAACCTTAAATAAGCTGACGTGTTATCTGTGAGAGTGCTAAAACATAGCATCTTCCACACATTTTACTTACAGAATCCTTTTTGCAGAAGAATAAGAAATGCTGTTTTAGTATACATTTACTTAATAGAATCTGATTCCTAGTAGAATGTTTTCTTACTGTTGCAATTTTATGAATTTGACTTATGACATTTTTCTTCCAGATTTTCTCTGTGGGCAGTTCTGTTTGTTTTGGGAAGACTTCTGACTTTAATTCTCTCGGTACTCACTGTTGGCTTTGGCCTTGCAAGAGCAGAGAACCAGAAGCTGGATTTCAGTACTGGAAACTTCAATGTGTTGGCTGTAAGGTACGTCAGTTTAACGTTCTCTTGCCCTTTGTATAGCTGTATAGTGTGTAGTTTATTATATGAATTGCCTAAAAAATAGGGAGGTTGGGGAAAATGCTCATTTGACTTGATTTTATATCTGTTTTATACATCTGAATTTAAATATCTAAGCATTTATTAACTTCTGGGATTAATTATTAATGAGATAATTATTTGTTAACATAATCTTGGGAATTTAGCACTAAATACTATCAAAACAAGATAGACTATTCAATAGCACTGTTTTGATGCACCCTGATATTTCATTTGGTTTTTTTTTTTTAATATATATATATTCTCAGAATTGCTGTCCTGGCATCCATTTGCATTACCCAAGCATTCATGATGTGGAAGTTCATTAATTTTCAGCTTCGGAGGTGGAGGGAACATTCTACTGTTCAGGCACCAACTGCAAAGAAGAAACCAACAGTGACAAAAGGCAGATCTTCTAGAAAAGGAACAGGTTTGTGTTCAGTAAGCAATGAAAAATCTGGAGTAGAAAACATCTTTAAAAAATGTTTTGGGTCTTATTTATAATCTTACTAAGATTTAAAGTCCCATAAAGAAAGTTTTAGTCTAATTTTAAGCAAAAGTAGAGGCAAGGTAATCTCGTCCTCTTGTACAGTTTGGTGATTCCCTGAGTGTCAGTTATTTCTCTCACGAGCTGTCCACTCAGTGTCTCTCCTAAGCTTTCCCTGCTTGATTACTTTGAGCCACTAGAGACCAGAGTATGAAATCTGTCCAGAAGGTATCCAGCTATGTACTATGAAAAATAGAGACATTCACTGAAGAAGACACAAGAAAGATTGTACATAGGACAGTGGCGCCTCAGTCCCCTTCAAAGTAGGCACCTTGGGACCTCACACAGTTCTCCCAGTCACCATCAGCTGCTCCATCATATTTTCCTGAATCTCATCGATGGTCTGAAATCTCTTCCCTTTCAAAGGTGATTTTAGTTGTGGGGAAAACCCAGAAGTTGCAGGGCACCAAATCTGGGGTGTAGCATGGCCGAGTCACTTAGTGATTTGATGTTTCCCTAAAAACCTCTGCACTGAGACATGATACCTGAGCAGGCACATTGTCACGATGACGCTGCCAATCACCAGTTGCCCATAGCTGCGGCCTTCTGAATCATCTGAATAGTTTCCATGGAGGAATGTTCAAACATACTGCAAATTTGATGTAGATTTGTTGTTCTACTCGCTCAGTTATTTTGAATATGATGGTCACATGTACACAAGCTCACTCAGTGGCGTCTGCTCCCCCCATACAATGAAGTCATCGTTCAGGCATGCATATTCTAGTCCATTCTCATTATATTAACAACGGCTGGGTTTTTTCCAGACAGACCTTGTATATGGGGGCAGTTTTAATGAATAGCTGACCCAGAGAGTGATAGTTTGTGCTTGCAAGCATCTTACTTGTGTTTTAAAAAGAAAACTCTTTATATCTCTTGCCCATCTGCCCTTGAGTTCAAAGTGGAATCGTTTTTTTTGCTTTTGTTTTTTAAGAACACTTGATTGCTTGATTCTTTTCTAGACATTTTATATAAATGGAATCATGCAATATATGATCTTTTACAACTAACTGGTTTCTTTCAGTTAGTATGTTTTAAGGTTCATTCACATTTTAGCATGTACTGATAATTCATTCCTTATTTTGGCCAAATAATGGGTTGGCCAAAAAAGTTTGTTTAGTTGTTTCCATATGAGGCCTCTAGTACATCTTGGACTTCATTGGAAACGATTTTGTTAGATTGTATTGTGACAGCTGTCATATCAGCATGCATTTTAAAAAAACTTACCAAAATTGGTAAATTATTGTGCAGTCGTTTTAATATTAAAGATAAGAAAATGCACAACATTTTCAGCATATTGTGCTTTATTATTTCAAGAAAGGTAAAAATGCAACTAAAATGCAAAAAAAACATTTGTGCAGTATATGGAGAAGGTGCTGTGATTAATAGAACATGCAAAAGTGGTTTGCAAATTTTCTTGGTACTGTTGACATTTTGGCCAAATAATTATTTACCGTGGGACTGTCTTACACATTGGAAGATGTTTAACAGTACCCCTGACCTTTACCCACTAGAAGCCAATAGTGGGAGACAGCTGACATACTCAAAATATCCAAATCAAAAAGTTATTGGTGAAAATGAAAAAAAATGTGTCTTTTTTTTTTTTTACAGAAAAAACTAAACAGACTTTTTGGCCAACCCAGTAATATTCCATTGTATAGATATAGCATGGATATGGTATTTTGTTTATATAGTAGTTGATGAATATTTGAGTTCTCACTTTTTGGCTGTTATGTACGAATAATGCAGTAAACATTCATGCGCAGGTGTTTGTTTGATGGCCTGTTTTTCACTCTCTCGGGTACATACCTAGGAGTAGAATTGATGGGCCATATGGTAAATGTCTGTTTAACATTTGGGAGGAACTACTACGCTGTTTTCCAGACTGGCTGCACCGTTTTACAGTCATTGTTTCACATATTGATAGTATTTGTCCCTGCACCATTTGTTGAAAAGACCAATCTATTGAATCGTATGTCTGTTCCTATGCCAGTACCACACTGTCTTAATTACCATAACTTTCTAATAAGTTTTGAAATTAGGAAGTGTGAGTTATCTTTTTCATGTTATTCTGGGTTCTTAGAATTTCCATATGAATTTTAGGATCACCTTGTCACTTTCTGCAAGTCTAGGCTTTTGATGCGGATATAGGTTTCAGATGTACAATTCTATAATATATCTTCTATATATTGTATTCCGTGTTCACCGCCCCAAATCAGGTCCTCTTCCATCACCTAGAATGTTCTTTATAGGAAGGTTTCTAACAGCAGATTCACATTCTTTAATAGATAATAGGATTATTCAGATTTTCTATTACTGTCTCTCTTTTGGTAAGTTGTGTTTTTCAAGGAATTTGTTTATTTTGTCTGAATTTACAAATGTGTTGATGTAAAATTATTCATAATGTCCTCTTGTTACCTTATTACTGCCTGTAGGACAGCAGTGATTTCCATTTTCTCATGTTGTTAGTAAATTATGTCTTTTTCCATCAGACAAGAACCAACATCTGTCTTTCTTTGTGGATTTTTCTCGCTCATGTCATTTCTTTTTGTTCTTATTTTCCTTTTTTGGATTTCATTTGCTACTTTGTTATTGGGGCTTACCTTCCTGAGATGGATCTTTAGGTCTTTGATTTTCATCACTTTATGTAAATTACTTAACAGTTAAGGACAAACTTTCCCTTTCAGCACCACTTAGGTAGATTTCACAAGTTTTGATATGTCTTTTTCATTATTATTCAGTTTAAAATATTTTCTAATTCCAATTGTGATTTCTTTCTTTGACCCATCCGTGGCTTATGCATGACACAAGTGCATTGTCAAATTTACACATGTGCAAGCATTTTCTAGTTTCCTTTTCTTACTGATTTCTAGCCTAATTCTACTTAGGTTAAAAAACGTATTCAGAATGACTTTGTTGAGACTTTAGTTATGGCCCACCATGTATTTAGTTTTGTACTCAGAAGGGTGGGTAACCTGCATTCGTTGGATATTATGTTCTCTGGGTGTCGGGTCACATTTGTTCATTGTGTTGTTCAGTCTTATCTTTACCGATTTGGTGGGAGGAGCTCTGCTTGTTCAGCCAGTTACTGCAAGAGGCATTGACCATTTCTCCTTATAGCTTGTATTTTTACTTTAAATATTTTGAGGATGTGTTACAGTTTCATCAAAATTAGGGTTGTTATAAATTCCTATGGAATTTGTCCTTTTCTAGTTCGTCTGAATTTACTCGAACTACACCATCTGTCGTGTGGTAAACTATTCTCATAGTGTATCTTTTCATATATGTTTCTAGTTTAAACCTTTCTTAGCCTTTAAATATAAATTGTGTCTCTTATAAACAGTGTAGAGTTGGATTTTTTTTTTCACGCAGTCTGTTCATTACTGTCTTTGTTTTTGGCAGTTATCCTGTGGTGTACCTGGGTACGCCTTTGTTTTTATCCTGCTCTGTGTTGTGTCGGGCTTCCTGACTCTTGCCTTGGTTTCTTTTTTGATACTTGGGAAAATTCTCGACCGTTACGTCTTCAAACACTGCCTCGGCCTCGTTCTGCTTCTCCTGTCCTTCTCAGACTCCCGTGTATGCGTTAAATAACCTTCTGTGCCCTGTCTCTTGACTAATATCTTTTCATTGCTTTCTCTATTTCTCGTCCTTTTTTACCTGTTTTGATCTGAGTATTAATTAATCTAGTTCACTAATCTCTTCTCTTGTGCCTAATCTGCTATTAAACTCATTTATTAAATTTACATTCGGTTACTGTATTTCATAAGTTCTGGGATTAAAGATTGTAATTCTGTGAAATTCTCCATCCTTTTAATTTACTTTTATTAATCATTGTTCTTATTGGACAACTTCAGGCCTGAATCTCCTGAGGATCTATTTCTGATACTGTTTTTCTCATAGTTTTAGTCATTTGGTCTTGTTTTCTGGCATGCTCACTAATTTTTAATTTGTGTTAATAAGTTTTGTATAAAATATGTGGAAGCACAGGATAAATTTGGACAAGTTCTGGATTGAGCATGGCTAGATCATTCTATCTCACCAAAACTGATCTCTTTACAGTTTGTTCTCAATTCTAGGGCGTGAACTCTTTATAAGGGCTATTGTTCCTGATGGGCCCTGAATTCAGGTGTGTGTCTTCCTGTCATTGTGAGGCCCCCCCGATCTCCAGAGATTTGTATCTCTTAGGAGTTGCTTTCTGCTGATTTCTCTGAGTCTTACTCGGTGTGTGCACATGTAGTAGTTGGAAAATACCTTGAGAGAAAAATACACATAGCTGCCTTGGTTTTTTTTCAAGTACCTTTAAAGACCCTTTTTTGTATTCAACTTTAATAGGTATTTTTGGAGGGAGGGTTAGTGTGACATCAGTTATTCCATCAGAGTTTGAAAAAAGGGCCATGATACACTCTTAAGCATAAGAGTTAGCATCCTCAATGCCAAATTTTAGTTGTAATAAGGAAACATACTCCCTAGAACTTCGCTCTAATATGAAAGGTTCTTTATTTCTCCCCAAAACACTAGTCTAAAGACTGTTTTCAGATTCTTGTAATTGTTTCTGAGAGGTTTTTTTCTGATTTCCCTTTTTATTTTTTTGAGATCTAATGACATTATAGTTACTTTTCTTTTAATTTGCTGCTTGTAATTCGGTGTTTAAATCAGGTTTTTGATTGGTGAAATGCTAGTACTAGTACCCTGGCCGGTGTGGCGCAGCCGTGGTTGGAGTGTCGTTTCATAAACCGAAAGGTCACAGGGTTTGATTCCTGGTCTGAGCACCTGCCTAGGACGTGGGTTGGTCCCCAGTCAGGGATCATGCAAGAGGCAGTCGATGGATGTTTCCCTCTCACATTCACGTTTCACTCCCTCCCTCCCTCCCTCTCTCCTTCCCCTCTCTCTAACATCAATAAGCACGTCCTAGGGTGAGGATTAAAAAACAATAACTAAAAAAAGTTTTAACTATCTAAAAAAACGATTAAGCACTAGTGAATGAATTTTACCTGTAGGCTTAAAAGTAAATACTGGATTTAAAATGTTCTTTTCTGAAGGTACTTTACATATAAAGATATTTGTGTTTCTTCATGAAGGAGAGTAACACTGATTCTTTTTTCTTTTCAGAAAATGGTGTAAATGGAACATTAACTTCAAATGGAGCAGACTCTCCCCGTAATAGAAAAGAGAAATCTTCATAATGAATTACAATCTAATTGATTAATGTCCCCAAAGAAACCTGCTTTTTACTCTATCTTTCAACACTAGAGGTTTTCTTTTTCTGTTTTTAAGATGCAGTCTGTGCTCCTTGGTTCTTGCTATTGTACTGTTTCCTGCATTTTTTAAAGGGCAGTTGAGGGTGGATAATTACTATGAGTGAAAAAAATATTTGAGCTTCAACTAAGCTACTTGCCTTTAAAACAGTTTAGGGACCACCACCATATTTTACTTTGTTTCTTTTTATCTTTGAACATTTTTCTAATGATTTGGAAAGATAACTATTTACAAAAATTCTACATATCAATGATACGATTTCTTGCTCTCACTGATTTTTTTACATTACCACGATGGCCTCTTCCAGCTAGGTCATATTTTTTAAGTTATCTTTCAGGGTAAAATGGAAATAATACAAGGTTGGATGTCAAACTTTAATATGTTTTCAGTGTTCTCTAATTTTTAGGAATTTTTGTAGCCTTTGCACCAGGGAAAAAAAAGATTTGTAAATTCGCCAAAATAATAGTGTGCGTTAGTTTATAGGTAATGGTTGTTAGTGTTACATCCCATATTTTTAAGGGGGAGAAAACATACCATTGGTTACAATGTGGAGATTTATTGCCATATTTGTTGAATCAAAATGTACTTGTGAAGTAAAATCTTTCTTGTGCATTTGCAACACTTGTAAACAGGAAATCAGAAAATTAAATATTTAAAGAAAAAATCGAATGTAGCCCTTTTTGATATGTTTATTAATAATGATCCTTAATGGGGCTTATTGATAAATTCGATATGCACATCATCTTAGAAAAAACATTGTTTAACCTGCAAACCCTTTTTAAAAATAATGCCTACTTGATTTATATCTATAAAAAGAATGTCAGGTCATTATATTTGGAAACCATTTAATGCACTAACCTTAAAGAAATTGAAAATTCAGGTGGATAAATAGTCTTTAAAAAAAGACAGTGCTTTATGTTATAACTATAGCTTTGGTCCCGTCTTTAATTGAGAAACATTTATCTGTATAAAACATATTTTTGGATAAATATATATATATATTTGTATCTCTACAGAAAGGCTCTAAGAAACATTTGAGTAAAACATCTGGTTCTCTTTTCTATAATTATCCTTTAAAACCCTTATGGCTGTATTCGTTCTGTTGTTGTGGTTCTCTTTCCGGTGCACACGTTGCTCCTTTCGGTGTTCCCACCTTGTTCCTCACCTCTCACTCTGGTCACCAGCTCTTTTTGTGCTGTTCTGAGCATCAAAGGTGCAGGCCTATTGGGTTTGCAGTGTAAGAAGTCACCATGCTGCTAAAGTCGTGCTTTCTATTTCCAGCTGTGTACCTACATCCTGGAGAGAGCAGTGGCTCTCTGGAGCATCATGGAGTTCGGAACCAAATTTGTGCCATTAAAAACTGGCATTATATTGAACCATTCATTGAGAGATCAATAAAAATAAAAATTTTTACTTTTACAAGCTAGATCCTGGATATTTTCTTCATTGTTAGCAAGTTTTTGTGCTATTTGAGAATATTAACTTTTTTTAAATGTACCATGTTTACAGAATGCACTGTTGGTAAGCATTCAGACGAGCCTTTCCCAAAGAGTGTCTTCTATAAAACATTAGAAGGCCACTGTGGGGGAAATGGTTTCTAACCAAATGAATTCAGGGACTGTTTTGGGGTTAAACAAAAAGGTGTTTCTTTGCTACAGGACAGTTCGATCCTTTATATACGAATGTGTTTCCTGATGTACCAAGAATGTTGGCAATAGAGAGAGAGTACACACTTTTCCGCTTCATTTAATTGTGGAAACTTCTCTCTGCAGAATTACTCAACAGCACTTGTGCTCCATAGCATATGTTGTGGGTTTAGGGGAAGAAAAAGAAAAAGCCTTTGAATATGTACTTAAAACTTTATAAGACATTAAAACACGTAAGTGTAATTGTAAGTTGATAGGTCCTAGACTTCCTCCTCCCAAGTGCTGTGAGCAAAGTGTGTCTTTACCGGCCTCTGGAGCCCGCAGGGGCTGTCACTGGTGCCCAGCCTCAGGTCAGACATTAAAGCCTCACGGGAAGCATCAGAGTAGGACTATGATGGACAGCTGTCTTAGAGTCAGTGAGTGACCTTGAACTACTTGCTTTGCTGTTGTAGGGTTTAGTCTTCTCTCTCCAGAATGCCTTCTTGCCTGCACTTTAAAATACAGTTGTGAGTGGAACAAACAACCATGATCACTAAAATTAAGTAATCCTCCACAGTCCCTAAATTCAGAACTTATCATAGAGCAAAGCTTGTGTAGAGGAAAGGGGAGAGAAACATGTTGCACAGTTGTTAGCAATAGCCAACTACACCTGTACCTCTAAGGTGCTGCCAAATGTTTTCGCTGAAAACTAGTACTGCTGCTTGTCTACATGTGGACAATAACAGAAACTTCTTAAGAAATGACAGTGATGTTGATCACCTGTTTGTTTTTTTAAGCGTGGCTTTAAAAATAACCCTGGGGGAAATTCTAGGTAATACTTAAATTATTTTTCCCCAAAGTCCACCCTAGGTGTGATAGGTGATTACATTAAGGATCATCTATAAAACCAACACAGGACAGGTTTGTGAATTTCAATGTACATATAAGTGTTAGGAGGGAGAATTAAGACCAGTAGCTCTGGGCCTAAAGGGAGTCCTGGGGTTGGACTGAGTCTGGGTGCTTTAAAAGTCCTTGGATGTACAGTGCAGTCTGCTAGGATGAAATGATAGGCAAAGTCAGGCTCATAAAAAATGGGACTTTGTTAACCTGCTTACTGAACACTTTTTAAGAGCTATTAGTCATTTACAGAAGGTAACACATCTTCATGGCTCAGCTCTACCTAGTGAAGACAGCCGGGCCTTGGGTGAAAGGGCATACCCGTCCTGTGTTTACCTAAGCACAGTGTGCTCTACAGAAAGCTGCACTAGGTATCTGTCACACATCAACCAACTTCATCCAGTGCCATCAGGGGAAAGGCCAGCCCAGTTTGTCTGGCTAAACTGGTGTTAGTGGATAGACTGTTCATGTGTTTGCTTAAGGTTGAAATCAAACATTTGTGGTATCCTGAAAACAAAAATTCAGAGGCTTAGGTCTAGTTCACGGCTGGTATAACTTTATGTTGGCTGAAGGTGAAAAAAACTTCTATTTTGAAGACCCAGACTTCAGCCAATTCAAATAATAAGCAACTGTTGATTTCAATTAGTAAGTACATTGTAGTAACACTAGCAGACCAGTGTTCAAATCCTGACTCCTCCATTCATCAGCCCTGTGTAATCTAACGTCTGCCCTAATCCCACAAAGGAGTTCTGAGATTGGAGACAGTGCATCGAAGTTGTGCATAACTCCCTACAGTGCATAACTCACTGTCATAAGGTTGTGAAACAGCACAGGGAATAGCTATTGGTACGTATTAAGTCATTGTAGTTGCTACTTTTCTCCCTAAGACTCCATACAGAAGGTTCTCGAGCACTCAAGCTCTACCGTGCAAGCACGGTTCTGTGGTTACTACCCGGGAGCAGGTGGACCGATGAAGTGGCATGAGATGTTCAAGCCAACATTCCTGCCACTGAGTCACTGGGAGGCCGTCAGCATGCTTACCCAGCACAGAAGTTCACAAAGCAAACATCTACATCTGAACTGAATCATTTACACTCAGCAAAAGCAAATGGTATGGTTAGTTTCTAAGGAATGATAGTTTTAAAAATCCAATACCTGTGACTTATGAAACCATAGTTTCATTTAGGTGGTGTGTACAGCTAGAGAATTTTAGCTGCTTGCAGTTGCTTTAGCTTCCAGTGGGAAGAGTAAGACTCCATCAGGTGAGTAGAAATGTATAACAAGATAATGTTTATCAAGAAATTTGAACTGATCTCCTCAAGTGTCCTAGAAATTACAGTCCTGCAAGTGGACTGGATGGGACAGTGTGTGCAGCATGCACCTGAGTGTTGATCAGAGAGACTGGAATCTGAAGGCTGAGACTGCCACTCCTTTGTATGCTCGTTCACTTTTTCCTTCATCAAATATGAGAAACAAAGTTCCTTATGTGAACAGTTAGAAATTTTTCAAAAATGCCACTTTACCAAACTGATTTAGGTTACTAGTGATCTGACCAATTACAATGGCACTTTTCTATTTCTTCCTGATCTTACTCAAGACAAAACTAAGATTATTTGTAATTTAGTTCAGAAGGGGAAAATGTCTAGACTGTATATGCTAAGAATGTGAAAATTCAAGTGTGATGGTTAAAATGTGAATTCAGTTCTGTAGAATTAAGGTGTAGAAAACTACCAGGAATATGTTAGAAGCTTGGTAATTTATTTAAAGCTTAATAGACATAGAAAGCTTTGAACAATTTGGTTTTTTTTAATATGCAAGGCTGGGTTCAACTTTATCTTCAAAGAAAATTTCCATAACTGCCCAGATATTTTCAATGAATGGAAAACCCCAGATCAAACCCCCAGGTGGCTTCTCCGTTGATATCAGGGTGTGTCGGGTCAACTCTGTGTCAGTGCAGAGACGGTGGTACAGAGGAATAAGAGACAACCATTTAACAGAAAACAAATCTCTGAAGACAGACACTCGACAGTGATGTCCACTGAGATTATAAAACATCTCTATTTGCTGGTCATTAAACAGAAAGCTCAGGCTCATTCATTCATTATATAGCAGTCTTAACTGTGGATAGCTCGTGGTTCAGGGTTTTTTTTTTGTTTTTAATGGGTAGTCAAAGAATTTAAAAAGCAAAGCCGCCTCACGGAATGTAGCTTCAGGTTTAAGTAATCACTGCTCTGTCTCCGTGCTTTGGTGTACTTTGATGAGCGCCAACATTCCAACTGCAGTCCAGCATCTCTCGTTTGGCGGGCAGTGCCAGTCATCCCCCATTACAATATGTGGATGTGGTTTAAGTGCCCGTTAGGGGCTGCAGCAGTCACCACCCTAACTTCCCACACATGCTCCACCACGTCAGCACGCTAGTCTCCAGAATAGTGAGCAGCTGTATTCGCTGTGTCATTAACCCAGCCGCCCTTGACATTCGTTTCCTTTTTTTTTAACCTAACGTCACAAAATCTCTACTAAAGAAAACACTTTTGGCTTATAAGATTTTTTTTTTTGCATTGAAAATTTTAACTGTTTATGCAGGACCTGAACTTCCACCTAGAATAGTACTCCCACAAGTCGCACTGCACAATTACTACACTGTAGTGTGACAGAGCGGCAACAGGAGGGACCCGGTTGAACCTACGTCCAGAACTTCACTGATCTGAAAGTTTGGCTTTGAAGGTATTAGAAAGTCATTTCTTCTTGGTATTTTCCAAAATGCCCCTAAAACTGAAGTTATTTGTTATGTAGGATCGTTTGTACTTCATGATTCTGATTTCGGAGAAGCTTAGTATTGGTGGGGCCCTCCTCTGCCCCAACTCTCCTTAGGCTCTGCCAGTGTCTGCTCCTGAGATGATCGTTTACATTAATGACTTTCACCGTGACTTTGTCTCTCCCTGCGTGCAGCCAGTGTCTAGCATCTTGCATCTGAAGTGGAAGACACGGGGAAGGATATGTGCGTGTTTACATCCTGATACAGCAAAGGATAAACTCTCCTACCTCAGTCCCCCAGACACCTCTCACAGCCCATTCTTCATCCTCCACAATCTCTTTTTTCTGTAACACAATAATAACTGTATCGATTCTAAAATGTACTCCCCCATACCTTAGCATCTCTGAAAAAAAGAATGGGTCTTTTAATCTATGAAGTCATAAATGACAGTGTTTTTCTTACTGCACACAAAGGTTTAAAAAAATAAATTCTTCGATTGTATGAAATTCAGTAAAATTTCCTGCTATTTCTTGAAGACTAACTCAGTCCCAATCATTATTTTAAGGGCTTTTCTCCCTCATTTATTTTCTCCACGAGAGCCCTGTGGCTGGGTAGGAACCAAACTTAGCCCTGTTTTACACACACACACACACACACACACACACACGCACAAAACAATCTGAGGGATGAAGTGACTTAGAAAGTAGCAAAGCCAGGCTTTGAACACCAGTTGGCTGACGGGGCCGCTGGTCCTCACTCTGCTCCACCACACGCCTCCCCTCCCCCAAAGCCTGCGTGGAAGAGGACCTTTTGATTTGATCTTCAGTGTTCTTCCTCCCTATTAGTTTTGCAGAGACAAGTTTATCTCTAATTGTAAAATAGTAATCATAAACAGTAAAACAGTTCGTGAAACATTTTTATTTAATTAATAAACACTAACAGACTCTTGATATTATGGCGATGCGAAAATTACTAGAACACAGTCAAGTGCGAGAGGCAGATGTCCCAGACAATTAACAACAAGGATAGTTCTAGAGCAGGAGAAGTATCAGGTACCTTAAATTTAGGGTATCTCTGATAATGGGCTGAATTTGAGCTGAACTCTGAGAGCTGAGAGAAGGTTTCCCCGAGGACATGACTTTGACTCTT